TCTGACATCTCTCTCCCCAGCCAAGGAGCCGGAGGCCTGGGGGTGGCGGGCGGCAGGCGGGCACTGTGACCACAGGGTTCTGTTCTGGGCTCGTGTTTGGTAAGAATTCTGCAGGTCGTCGGGGCGCTCGCCGGTGGCCCAGGGAGTCTTCCTTCGAGGGCGGGGGGCCTGGGGGGGCTGGTCCACTGGCCGAGCGACCGCAGGCCCAGCTTCCACCTGACACGTGTCCCTCAAGCTCCACCTCACGGAGGCCTAAGTCCAGAGCAGGCCCAGCCCCTCGGGGAAGGGCTGGTCGGGCACAGAGAGCGCCTGCCAACACTGAGAAAGCTGGCTGTGTTTTTGGTTTTTTTTTTTAAATAAAAATATGTTTTTATTGATGTCAGAAAGGAAGGGAGAGGGAGAGAGAAACATCCATGATGAGAGAACCATGGATCGGCTGCCTCCTGCACGCCCTACGCTGGGGATCCAACATGCAACTTGGGCATGTGCCTCCGCCAGCAATTGAACAGTCACCTCCTGGTTCATAGGTTGATGCTCACCCACTGAGCCACACCATCCAGGCTCCCGTCCCAATTATTTAAAAACAACAACAACAACACACCCCAAACAATAATTCAAACACACACATTGCACGGCTATGTTCACTGCAGCATGATTTACAATAACCAAGGGATGGACGCAAACGAAGTGTCCATCAAAGACAAGAGGAGAAAGAAGGCCTCATACGTGTCTATGACGGAGCAGGACTCAGCCACACAAAGAATGAAATCTTGCCATTTGTGGCCGCATGGATGGACCTAGAGCAGCGGTTCTCAACCTTCTGGCCCTTTAAATACAGTTCCTCATGCTGTGACCCAACCATAAAATGATTTCTGTGGCTACTTCATAACTAATGTTGCTACCGTTATGAATCGTCATGTAAATATCTGATATGCAGGATGGTCTTAGGCGACCCCTGCGAAAGGGTCGTTTGACCGCCAAAGGGGTCGTGACCCACAGGTTGAGAACCGCTGACCTAGAGGGTCATACGCTCAGTGAAGTCAGTCGACAGATACAAAAACCGTGTGATTTCACTTAGATGTGGAATCTAAAAACAAACGAACAACATAAATGGAAAAAAACAAACAAAAAACACAAACATCTTGCAGATGCAGAGAACAAATGGATGTTGCCGGACGGTGGGAGGGGAGGGGTGGGCGACTACGATGAGAGGGATGACGAAGGACCGCTCGCTGCTTACAGTCACAAAAGTGTGATGACGGACGGTGTAGATGGTACGAGACCTAACGGGATTGCTCCGTAGGCACACAGACGCCCTGACCAGCTGTACACCTGGAACTGATACAATATCGCGTGTCACACTAACTGGACGTAAACGTGGAACAAACATGGTCCAGCCGTGCAGACCTGGGGAAGCCCCCTGGCCCGGGAGCATTTCTGTACTCGGCCCAATTTCCCCCACAATTTTATGATAGTTTTTTACATTTATGCTCATAAGGGATACTGTTGTATAGTTTGTTTTTTAAAGTATTTTTGTCTTTTTTTTTTCCTATCAGAGTAGATACAGTGAAAACACAGGTGACCCTTGAACAACATGAGCGTTAGGGCATGGACCCCCTGCAGAGTAAAAAAAAAAGGGTGTATTAAGTTCTGACTCCCCCAGAACGTGACTCCTGAAAGCCTGCAGCTGCCCGGGAGCGTTGCTGGTAACGTGAACTCCCCGTGAGCACATCCTGCGTGTGTCACGTGCGCTATGATAGACCGTGTTCTTAGGGAACAGTCAGCCGGAGAAAGAACGTGTACAAACCCTCAGGAAGAGAGACGGGCCTGACACCACTGCACCTAAGTTCATGTCTCTCTCAGGGTGAACCGCCTGCCTGGGAACCACAGTGCCTTCCCGTCCAACACAGTCCACGCTGGACTCACACTGGGCGTCGGGAATAAGGGGCCACGTGACAGCGAAATTCACATTCACCCCCAAGCATAACGACTGGGAAGTGGCCACCGGAACGGGCACGGGTAGGCCGGGCGCCGGCAGCAGCGTGTCCCGACCCAGCAC